TATAATTCATTAATTATAAGTAACATTATTCGATAGATATGATTGATATTTCTTGTCTCTCCGTCACGTATTCACCATTTTTGTAACATAGAAATCACCCATCGCGCATTACGAAAATGATAGTACCTTGTCCTTGATTATTTTTAAAAAGCAACACCAACAGTAGACCACCTTTGTTCCACGTATGACCATGGCGTGAGATATCTAACAGTACAGCGAAAATTGAGCGCCCGAAACGAGTCAATGAACCGAATCTCTACCGTTAGACGCACTGGTTCTAGTAGGACGGGCCCTTCTATTTACTATGCACAAAAATTTTGGAACTTTTTGTTCGGGAATAAAAATTTAAAACAGACTCTATCACTCCCTATATCGCATAATCTTCCAATCACACTACCCTGTCTGCGCATTTTAGGTTTAGTTGTGGTCCCTATCATTGATACCATGTTATGAATCTTGTTTGACATAGATATATCAAATATATATATATATATATCAAACAAGATTTATTACAACTCTTTAAATTGTTTGATTCAAAACAAGAATGTTTTAAAACAATAACAACAAAAGAGGATTAAAATAGATTTTAATGATAAATATTTTTTGTTAGAAGTGAAGTAAGAAAATAAAAAGAGGTTTATGGAATCGAGAAAATACTTTAGGAGGTGTCAATGTAGACATGGAAGGAACTAGCTACTACCTTTTAATTATAAGTATCTACCTGCATTACTAATGGTTATTAAATTGTACTGCTGAATACCTATTGTAACTACATTTCCATAAATAGCCAGTACGATATCGCCTTGATAGGATGGAGAAAATGAAAAAGTTTATTAAGTGGTGGAGATCACCAAAAATCAGAACCAGACCAAGGACCACCCTTCACAACCAGATTATATTTTGATATTATGTGAAGTATTTATTTTTACATGTACTGTTTGTGGAGATAATAAAATATTTTGATTATTTAAAAAAAAGATAATATTTTTAGTACAGTCAAGAGCACATCAAACTTGACACTTTGTACTTTGGCCCGTTCTTTTTTGGATTTCAGTCTTAAGTGTCAAGCTTGACGTGCTCTTGACCCTGTACCTACTTGCCTTTAGTGCTTAGCTCCATCCTCGTCGTCAAATTCAAAATTTAATTAACCTATAAATTATATAATATCATCCGAAGAAGTAACCTCAGATTCAATCTAAAATATAGATTGAATTGCAATTGACTGACCTACCTAGAACAGAAATTATGACTGCAAGAGCCTTAAAAGGCAAATTAACCAATCAATGATTGAAAACTTTCATTGCCTATGCCGAAGTTAATTCGTTTCTTTGAAAGCACTAGCCTCTATAAACGTTACTAGTTTCTAAGGAACATTTATTGCATATTGCAAGAGACATAGCTATAGAAACGAACTGCCTATGCCACGTGCATTTGAGGCTTAAGAGAGATGACGCCCATCCCGAGAATATGGCGAAACATTTTGAAGAGAAAAGCTCACACAGGATTGATTAGTTGATTACTTACCGACTACAAGAGAAATTTTGAAGACTAATTTTAGTTCTCGCCTAACATTGTAATCGTAATGTAAGAGAAAGCCAAATAGGATTATAAACACTCAGCTATAAAGTAAAATAGTCATAAACCCTGCAATAGAAGTAATGCTTGCTGTTTTATGCTGATTGGTTTACGTATAAATAATACTTTGAACATTGATATTTTGTTATTAATAATGTGAAGGATTATAATGGATCCTCACAGAGGGTAACACCATGTAATAACTTGATCACTATTCTGAAATGAATTAGATAAATTAACTATATAAATCAAGGTATTTACAATACTCGTTTCGAGTTTTCTGTGTTTACAATTAACTATCATTTAGAAACTATGTACGGAGTAGTAAAAGTTTTTGGAAGCTTTGTTCATGCACTAGTGTATTTTCGGCTGAGACCCTAGTATCCTATCCGCAACGGTCAAACCATATTATGTTGTATAGACACTCGTCGTTACTAGAAAGCTGAAGGATTTCTTTTTGTTCGCAGCTTTTACTCGTAGTTAACAGTTACCGAGCGACCGTACGCCGCTCCGTTACTGCGAAATCTGCTTATTCATTGGACACTCGAAACATCTAAAGTTTCGAAGCTTTTGCTCAACATTCTCATTACAAATAATAATCTACTTATTTGTTGATACCGTTACGTATACATAGATTTTTTCTCGCCTTTATATGAAGAAACATACTAAGGACAAACAAATATAAGAATATCGCACCATCACCTTAAATTATATTTACTACCCTCATCATATCTAAATTTATAATAAAATAATAGGTAATTATGTAATAGTTACGTTTCTTTGCAATAACTACATTCTATTTAATTAATCGACTTCAAAAAAGGAGAAATAATCTTTGTATGTATGTTACGCGATAACTGTAATAATAATAATAATAATAATAATAATAATAATAACTATCGGAAATATATCCTAAAGGACGGCACAGTAGACATTTGTCGGGCATGTGGCCGTCCCGGAGAGTCACTTAGGCATATTGTTTCCGGTTGTTCCGCTCTTGCTAACACTGAGTACTTGCATAGACACAACCAGGCAGCCAAAATATTACACCAAGAGCTCGCTCTCAAGTACGGACTAGTGCAACAGAGGTTGCCATATTACAAGTATTCACCGGAGCCAATACTCGAAGATGACCGCACCAAAATCTATTGGGATCGATCTATTATCACGGACAGGACTATTAAATTAGGACTATTAAAAAGTTCCAACAAGCTTGATATTGTGATATTGGATCGATCGCAGTCGAGGGTATTTCTTGTGGACGTCACCATCACGCATGACGAGGGTCTCGTGAAAGCTGAAACCGAGAAACGCCGGAAGTATCTCGACCTGGCGCACGAGATCACCGACATGTGGGATGTGGCCTCCACTGAAATAATCCCAATTGTTTTGTCCGCAAATGGGTTAATTCCAGTCAGCCTTTCTAACAGCTTGAGGCGGTTGGATTTCTGTGGCGTGTCGCTTCCAGCACAAATGCAGAAGGCGGTCCTGCTCGATACGGCACGTATTGTTCGCCGATTCTTGGACCTGAGTCCCTGACCCCGGCCGACTGTGCCATTGCCGGGAAATACCGCCTCTCCCATTTAAAAATTCAAAATTAATCTTTTAGGCCTTGGGAGAGGCGAGAGTTTAAAATAAATACGATAATAATAATAATAACGCACACACTTAACATAGGCCCGCACTAGGGAAGCCTTGGGTCGCGGGTGCCATTGACACACACATAGACAACCACAAATTACACCCAAACTCACGAGACAAATAAATGTGAGCCATACAAATATTTCTCCCGGCCCGGGAATCGAACCTGGGACCTCTGCGTGGCAGACCAGCATGGTAACCGTTCGTCCAGAGAGACATTTGTGAACCGACCTTGATGATTCTTTTTTTGTAGGGAAGAGGATATCTCAGAAGTGATCCCACTTAAATTTGAAGAAAATATTCCACCTCCAAGGATGGCAAACTAGGGGATGAATGACTTTAGAGGTCGGTTTTTTTAGTACTCTGTACTGATTAAAGTTTTATATGTACATACAACAGCGAATATTACATTTTCGAGACAACATGATCCCCTTACACAACATTTCGATCAAGATCTTTAACAATGCAGTAGGTCTCAGCGTAGATATATCTGTCATCTTTACTTTAGACAACCTAGGGTCTATTTCGGTTATGTTTGCTCAGGGAAAGTGTGGCAGCTTTTATGTAGCCTGAAACTGGGTCAGCGCTGTAAGGACTTCAGCTAACACGGGCGCGATGACCTAGGTCAGGTCACCGCTGAATTATGCTCCAACTAATCGATAAAACTTCACGTAGAGGTCGCCAGGTGATTTGAACTGCGCCTATAAACTAGGACTCGAATATGAAAAGTGTATAGCCACACAATTAATTCAGCAAATTTTTGCGAATGTTATAGGTGATAGTTTCCTAAGGTATGAAAAGATAAATTACGTTTGGATAAGGTGTTGATTGATACATAGCAGTGGATCTGTCGCAATCACAGCTGGCAGAGGGTGGGGCCGGGTGATACGATAACAACCGCCAGACCCAATTGTTTATCACTGCACGTTTGTAGGACCTGTTTAGTATCACTTGAGATAACCTCACACATTATTTTCTGTCTGATAAATTGTAAAAAGAAGTAGACATCTCAAATCAATAGTTGAAATCATAAATAATATCAATCTGAAGAATATAAGATTCTGAACAATGCTTATTATTTATTCTTGTGGTCTTGAATGTAAACTTTTAACAACACTAGACATGTATTTATATTTTATTTTTAACCGACTTCGAAAAAAGGAGGAGGTTCTCAATGACTGCGTTTTTTAAGTATTTTACTGTGATTCTTTTTTGGTGGAAAGAGGTGAGAAAAGAGACCTCAGTAGTGGTCCCATTTAAATTCGAAGAAAATAATAACCTCTAAGGGTGGTAAACTAGGGGATAAATGACTTTTGATGTCGGTTTTTTTATTACTTTGCACTGAGATTATATTTAAATGTATTGTTATTTCCTTTATGGGGTGCCCACTAGACTTGTGCCAGTGTCAGTTTTATAGGAATAATTTAGTTTTTTTTTTTAGTATTCATGGCATTAATTCTGAAAATGTTGACGTCTGTTATTTGTAAAAAGTAAAGTTATATTTAATTTCACTGACCTTATGTCAATGTTTAATTTTCTAAAATTGACCGTACACTGGCAGAATTGTTCTCAGTGGGATAGAAGCCAAAACCTACAAAAATAATATAAGAAAGAGCTAAAATCTTACATTATTTTGTAAATTGAAAGATATACTAATATAGACAATATAAACGAAAAATTAAGTAGGTACATAATGTAGTTAAATTTTACTTTCGAGTTGTTTGCCTGACAATTTAATAACAACAAAAGGTGTTTATAATTAATTGCAAGAGAAAGTGCATCCCCCTTAAAGTGTGGAGTGGTCTGTGGAGCTGACCGTGCATCCCGGCCGTCACGCATTGTGGCCGCCAGGACTTCACGTTGCGTGTTTTCCACGATCCGCTGTTGAAACTTTCTAACCCTGTGGTGCCGGTGCGCGGCAGGGAGGGGCGCGCGGAGCCAGAGAGAGGGTACCGACCTCATTGCCCATTGCCACTCCTCCCGCCGTGGCAGCAGGCCATTTTTATTAAAAATACTTCCGACTCCGGCCAACATATACCGCGCGCTGATTTTTTGATCGTATCCTGCCTTGGCTGTTAAAATTCAATAACAAGAACACTTAAATATATTTTAAAGTGGACTATCGACTAATTACAAGCAAGCTGTTTGTAACCGAACATTTTTACATAAACGGAAACTTTGGTGTTTGTGATTTTTTTTTATTAAAAAAGTAAGTGCGCCCCGCGATCTATTTTCCGTGTTGGTTCGGGTGCGTTCGTTGCGAAAAGTGGCGGTGTTCGGGTGTCTCCGGCGGCGCTCGCCGCGAGGAGGGCGTCCTATCAACCCCGCCCGCGCGCAACAGAGACGGAGCACGCTGCTGACATGGCGACAACACGGATGGATTGATGTTTTTCACGTGGAAAACTCATCCCTCCGATATACCTAGATGTAAGTTGATAATATGTGTCACGTCTAAAATTGTGACTACTTATTCTCAAACACTCAACATGTGTTACCCATATAAGGCTCATACATGAAAACATTAAGAATCCCTGTTGATAAGTACCTATTTAAAAAAAAGAAACACCATAATTTGTATCAACTTTCATTATAAATTTATTTGTTAATCAGAAAATAGCAGAACTGAAATGTCTATGAAAATCGTAATATCAACATCGGCGCCAACTTGCAGGGGTTAACTTCTATTTGACCTCCAGAGTCTGGAAGTACATTTATATTGCCTGAAATAGATAAACGCTAGTGACGTTATTAGCTATTCCCCCTATAAATCGAAGCGATGTGCCAGTTGTAGGGCGAACGGCGGGGGCAAATTTCCTGGCAGGAGTAAAAATCAATAAATTTCAATAAATCAATATTTTACTGTGCAGGCAGTAAACAGGGTGCGCTGAATATATCCGCTGCCGCCATTTCGATGATGACGGCGTATTTTTTGTGAGAGATATTCGAGCGCGGAGCGAGTCGGTGGCTCGGCGCAGCGCTGTGGCACGGCCGCGGGGTTGCGGCCGTCAGTCGTCGGGTGAGCGGGGTGCGACGTAAACGCGGACTCGGACTATGGCGGAAGGGCTGATCCTCATTCCCATAAAAGGGTCGAGTTGATTGTGGTGCAGTTACGTGTGGTATGTTCTATTATGTTAGTGCAGTGATATTTTTACACTTCGACGGTTTTTATCTCCTCGTATCGGCTGATTTAATGTGGATATCGTAGTTATTAATGCCATTGTGATGACGTAATGTAACGCGCTCGACTGGGTGCGTAGTAATAATTCGAGCGCCCGTTTATACCGCGATAACGTTGTGGTCAGCACCTGTGGATGTGAAGCGGAATATTCGTGTTTGTAGATTAGAAATAAATCTGGTTCCAATAAGATTCTAGTTAGAAGTTAGACGGCGCGGCGACTCCTGCCTGTTTCAGATTTTGCATTAACTCCTCCTTGTTTGCCTATACTTTGCGTTAATAATTTTTAAGGTTAATGTTCTTACCGCAAAAGGCAATAAATAGACGTGTAATAGAGACGATTTGAAGTAGGTAGACAGCGTTAGGATGTTTTTTCCCACTGCAGTGCGCTCGCCGATGTGATGCATTGTACAACGGATTCGCCTCCCGCCGCTAGAGGCGCCCTCGATTTTTTTAACCTTGATTTAATATAGTCAGGCACTAGACATCAGGCTTATACACGAGGTAGTGACATTTTATTCATTGCTTTATTTTTCATGAAACAAACAATACACACAATCATATCCTAGTTCATTATTTGTTACACCTACCTTTTTTTTTAGAGTTTAATAAAATTGCACACACAACTTTCATTAACAACTTAGCATACATTCCTTTTTATTTACAAATATTTTAATTTAAATATTCATATTATGTTATCGAAACTGGTATTTCCTTGCAACGCATCGTATCATGTCACCTTATAATAATTAGATTTAAACGATTGTCAAATTGACCTGAGAATAATTAATAAATGACTGAAGACGCTTGGCTAATGACAATGTGCATAATTTATGCATGAATAGGTACTTTTCTAGTAAGTATTAATTAATTATTTAATTGAATTACCAGTGCTCTTTGTCGGGAATATAATAGCATTGTGGAAATGAGGATTTTCAATAATTCTGAAGCACCGTCTCTCTCTGAAGCTGTCGCTCTCTGGTTTGCCAAAACCAGTTGAAGATTTCAGAATTGCTGCAATCTATTGTTAGGAGGCACAATAAAATAGGAACTGTTTTTTGTCAATAGGTATTACTTATTACTACGTACTTATTCGAACCTATATAATATTAGATACATGCACTTCAAATATTAAATACCAATTGTAGACATGAATTATGTTATACCATACTACTTATAAAATGGAAATAAAGTATATAAGGTTTGGTGCAGCGTGAGGATAGCTCTATGTAGCGCTACTAGCGCTGTACTGCCGCTGTTAGCGTTACTAACTTAGTAGTTTTACCGCCTATCATGAGGAAGTAATTGGACAGTTTATTATTTACCAGGAAATTATAGGGTATTTATTGTTGTTCTTTTATCATTTATATTGTAAGTAATTTACTTACACAGTATTTTATTTTTCATTCTGTAATTAATTGTTATAGCAAGTGTAAATTAAGATTCTTGTTTTTAGGTTCCACGCGTTGGATAGTTATTCTGGGACAATAGTGATATCGCACTATGTAGAGCTTTATGACACTATAATTATAGGTAATATGGGGAAAGCGGAAGATACTGTATCGTTTTTCTAACCAGATTTACTCTTTCTCTACAAAAGACTTCAAAATATTTAGAATAGATATATATAATATTAAGGATTGTTTTCAAAGCATCACATAAAATAAAACTAATCCCAGGTTCTTTCCCAAAATTAAATAGTTTACATTGAAACTATTCTACAAACAAACGCGTAACATTTTATATTTGTTTTGACTTTAATTCACAACAAAATGAAGTCATATTCAAGCAGTAGGTACCAACATCAATGATCATTATGAATATGGTACCTATCAACTGCTAACATAAAATATCTCGAAAGCTTGTAGTTTTAATTGAAAAACAAGACTCTTTTGCTTAAAATCTATGCTTTATTAAGAAGTATTATTTTAAACTCGAATTGCGCACTTCTATCTTTCAATGGAAGCAAAGAAAATCTAAGAGTAGGGCGGAGATATCGCGTGAATTTATTTTCTCCGAGGATAATAGCGTGACTGATATCATCCGTGCCGTAATCACATAGAGTAATTAATTACCGCACGAAACGAGAGAAATTATGGCGATATCTCCTACTTTCTGTTTTAAACACAAACATACTAAATTGTATCAGGAGCCGAAACATTCAGCGATTGCATAATGCTAATTAATCGTATAATTACAAAAATGTGCAGCAACCACATTCTGATAGTTCTTTGTAATTCAAAATGTATATCAGCTATAAACGCTATGTGATGAAAATCGGGAAATCCTGTATCGTTTTTCTAACCAGATTTACTCTTCTATTTCAGGTTTCCCTCGCCCGTCACACGAAAAGCACTGACACTATGACAAATTTAAATTAAAATGGCTTTTAAAAAGTAAACATTATCTATTGTTGACGTTTTATTGTATTGTTCATGGAACAAGAGAGAACACTTATGTATACATAATTGAGATATTGTTGGAATAGATTATAAGGCTGATCCGCTGAATATCATATCTTCCAAAGAAAATATTTACTGAAAGAGAAATGGCTACGCAAAGATTTTGCCTGAGGTGGAACAACCACCAGTCGAACATGCTGTCAGTGTTCGACCAATTGCTGCACGCTGAGACGTTTACTGACGTCACATTGGCCGTTGATGGGCAACTGCTGAAAGCACACAAGATGGTTTTATCAGCATGTAGTCCGTATTTTCAGGCTCTGTTTGTAAACCATCAAGAAAAACATCCTATTGTCATACTAAAGGACGTTCCTTATGCAGACATGAAAAGTTTATTAGACTTTATGTACAGAGGAGAAGTGAGTGTTGATCAAGAGCGTTTAACGGCTTTTTTGAAAGTAGCCGAAAGCTTAAGGATAAAAGGCCTCACCGAAGTCAACGAGGAGAAATGTGACATACCAGCGCTGACTAACTCCCTAATACAACAACAGGGCGGCGCATCCGCCCACACTCCACCGCCTCAGTTGCACAGAATACATCCTTACGTGCAGCAGCAACAGAAACGACCAGCGTCTGGTATGCCCACCGGCGGAGCACCACCGAACCTATTAATGCCTCTATTAGGAAATGCCCTAATGCAACCTAAAAGGAAACGTGGTCGGCCGCGAAAGCTCAGTGGAAGTTCAAGTGATGCCTTGAACACAGCAGCTAGTCCTCCGGGCGAATTCGTGCCAGAATCAGCATCCCATGCAAACTCAAACAGGGCTGGTGACCAGCTGATTAGGGGCTCTCCAGAAATGCTGGAAATGAAAATGTCAGTGGACGGGTTCAGTGCAGAGGACGGCGGGACGTCGGGTGGTGAGGATGGCGGCGAGGCGCTGCTGATTGATGAAGGCGACGACGCGCACTCTACCGATGCTCCGATGACCGGCAAAGATTCCGAGTCCGCAGGTACGTGTTTATAAACTTTTTTCAGTAGCTGTGACGTTTACAAATATATCACCATTTGTGTATAGCTGCAATAATACCTCTTAGTGTGATCGGTTGACATGACGACGTCGATGTATTTCTTCAAAACCTTGAAAATAAACTTTGTAAAATATTTTGAAACTTGGATGAGGATGTATGAGGATAATTTATAGTTGCTTATCTGTTGTAAATATTCATAATCTTCCTTTCCATGAACCTAACACTGTTTAATAACAGTTAAAATTTATTGAAAGAAAATATAAGAAATAAGGGAAAAGCTAATGGGATATAAGCTTTGATGTTAGGAAAATAGTTTAAGTGAAAAAGTGAAGTGTATTTTGAATACCTATCTACTTATCTTTATTATTAAAAGTTTATTTATTGAAAAGGGGTAAGTGATAATCTATCAAATTATTTTTGATGTATCGAAGTAACAGATGCTTATTTCTTCTATAAATCGACAGTTTAACTATTGCTTGCTTTTCTGCTTTTGGGGAGAGCTATTAGAGGAATGGCCAGGGGCAAACTCGGTGTGGTAATGGGTTAAGGACCTTATGTAATCTCTTCTTTTGAAACTTCTTTGAGCAATATTTAACAAAACGCGAGACAAGGGAGAACAAACAAGGCTTATTCCCAATAGCTTTCCTTCATAAAAGCAATTGGAAATATTCTAGTCATAAATCGTAAACATCCGTAATTCCTTTACATCACAGACATTAAAAACTAAAATATTTCCAATACAATAAAAAGTCGTTTGAAATAAAATACATATCCACCTACCTCTTCGCGCATTGAGACCTGAAATTGTTACATTTCAGACCCCGATAAACTGTCTAAAGAGGACCCCCCACAAAACTTCCCGACTAACAACGGCCCTGTGCTGTCCATCGAAAACGGATCCATAAAGCAAGAGCCAACTAGCGATGCCAACGACGGCTATAATGAACCGATCGAATACAAATACAATCCAGACAGGAGCCGCGAAAACTCCAACTCTCAAGAAGGCCCCATCAAAGAAGCTGACGACAAAAACAGACTAGCTCGTAACTTAAAGCCAAAGAATAGTAAAAAATTACTACCCCAAATGTCAAAAATTAGAGCCCGAAACCTATTCAATCAGCTCTCTGGTCTCCCTAACCTAAATCCGGCTCTTAACAGCTTTGACAAATTTCCCCCTGAAACTGTGCTGATGCCCGCGCTTGCCACACAGTTGTTTGCCGCCGAACTGGAACAGAATAATCTTAACTTGGGTAATAACGAAGTGGCTGATTTGGCACAAACTAATTGGGAACATCGCATATTTCCATCTCCGATTAGGAAAAATAATATGGGCAGCATTGGCAATTATCACGAAGAAAATAACGAATCGGTCAGGGATTATTGTATTAAAGAAGGTGAGAACGTATTTAGGTGCAAAATTTGCGCGAGGGTGTACACTCACATCAGTAATTTCTGTCGCCACTATGTCACTTCCCACAAGAAGGACGTCAAAGTTTTCCCGTGTCCCATTTGCTTTAAGGAGTTCACACGGAAGGATAATATGATCGCGCATCTCAAAATAATTCATAAAAATCAGCCCAATGCCCACGAGCAAATGGCAAAACAAGAGTCTTAATAGATTCAAGAAGTAGTCATACTCAAAGTAAATAATTATAAAATGGAAGTAATAAAGATCTGATAGCGACTGTAGAAATCATTCACCTCTACATAACTCGATTCAATTTATAAATAGTGAGTAAAATAAAGATTGCAATTGAGTAGGCATTCGAGCTCTAAGTTTCATGAATGTATCAATAAGTTTGTTGATATTAACGCTATAAGAGTCGTTTGTTGTTAATATTTATCTATTTATTTATGTTGTTCCATTTTTTTCTGAAGAGTGCTGATTTCCAAGAGATTTAAGAAATTTTCTACGATTTACTTGTTGTTTTGCACTTTATTGTTACTTAATTTTATTACTTACAAAATTTCAGGGTACAAAGTAACTACTCACGGTGATCGTTAATTCAAATGTAGTCTATCGATTACTTATATTATTCAATTCTACACGCAATTCTCATTGAACTGAATTAGTAAGTTTAATTAGTTTAGTTTTAGTAGTTATGTTTACGAGTGGTCAATGGCAAAGCCTTTGGAGTCGACGGTAAAGAAATAAGGCTGTACGAGTAGCGTGCGATTCGGTCGCACACTGCTCAAGCCCATCTTTGAGGCTAGCGATTCGCAAAAGGCTTGGCATCCTATTGCCATTATGTAGTGGTTTAAAATGCATTTTCATTTAACTTGCCTTATTAGTGATCTTAGTTGTAAATGATGATTTAACTTCGCCGAAGTAAAACTCAACACAGGCTATGATTTTATTCTATTCTAGAGTTTGTTAAGATTAATTTAAAATATTTTATCGATGTTGAAATATTTGGTTGTAAATGTTATGCTATTGAGAACGTACCTATCTATTAAATTACAAATGAATAGAGAAAATCAATCATAAATAGGCTATAGACATTTAACAACCTCATTACAGCGAAAACGTAGCTTAAAAGTTTGTTAATAACACGTGCAATCAGTTCCTGACCAGACAAAGCCCCAAAACGCAAATCGATGACATATAATAATATTTATCAATCGTTTAAAAGTAGCTTTGTAGGTATATACACTATTCAGTCTCTAAGCATAAATAGAGACTGTTTATTAAAATGCAAAATCTGTTAGGTAACGTAACACGAACTTTTCAAAGACAATATTGTGCAAGTGTAGTGCTACATAGGTAAGCCGAACTTGATGACATATATACCTGATAAACATATGTATAGCTTCACGCATAGTATTATACTCTCCTTGAGGAGCCCTAAACTGTACTCTGTCGGAGCCACGTACTTTAAAAAATAAAAATATATAAATTATTAAATTGTAAATATTGAAAAGTCGCAACAAGGCGTTGTTGTTAAAAGTGATTAGCAAGGTGCTTTGAAAGAGGTTTATTGACGACTGGAATCATGAGATGATTGTAAATTCTATTTTAGTAGAAACGAGATGCCTTAAATATAAAATAAGGGATGGTACTTATAATTACTTAGTTAAACTTAGGGGCAAATGTAGTCTTCCATGTATCTATAGCGACACTTTTCTGTTATTGTTACTAATGAAATTTTTACTCGTACCGATGTACGGTCAGTACAAAAGCCTGTATATTTAACGAGGCAGCTATGGAGCTGTGACTTAGATGACTAAATCAAATTACACACTATACCTACTTAATAATACATATACTAGGAGCCACTAGAAATCGTACTCATTTACCCGGAAAGCAGTTTTTCGATAATAAAATCGTAGGTCCAGGGAACGCTTGCCTATTAGTGTGCCTTTACTTGTATAGAAATTAAAGTTCGTCGACTATTAGGTAACTAAGAAGTTTCAAACAATATTATGTATAATTATTTATTTTCATTTTTCAGACTTTACAATCTATTTTAAGAAGCTTCCTTAGGAATATAGGCACTTTTTAGGCCCAATTAGTTAAATAATAATTAAAATTTAAAGTAAGATATATCATCTCATGTTTCCCATTATATTTGGAAGGCGAAAATAATAAAGGTTTTGAAAACTAATTAAATAAATCATATATGATTCGAGGCGATTAAGTCTTGATAATCAATATTAAGACTGTAAAATTCATGAAAAACGAATTTATTGTACCTACTTTCATAATCTTTATAATGAAATTTATCTTGGACAATGATAGGTACTTAATGGCGAAATTTAGACTTAATAAGGTGAGGCTATTATCCAACGTTTTCTAAAATCTCTTATTTACGTATGATAGTCAATTTAGCCAGTGCCTAAGCTTAATTTTTTTTTATAATTAGAAATCTTTCTTTAATAACTTTAAGTACATTCTTTCTTTGATCGTCTATTTGCGGTAATTTATTCTTGTCAGTGTCAATCCAAAATTGTAAACCTACTTGAAATGGTCTATTAATTTATTGAGAGAGATATATGTAATTATATCAATTCAATATTATTATTTATTAAATGTTATATCATCTATTGGTGCTAAATTATACTTATATAAGGAAATGTCGCATGTGATGCGACTGAGAAAAGGATTGTCCCTAAAATATATATGTATTGTTTGTTGAATATTGTTGTTTCAAAATTTTATCTTAAGTCGTCTTGGTTAATATTGTAACGAAATGTAAAGTTTCATGAGAAACACGGGACTTCGATGAAAACTGAACTACGCCGTTCATGATTTAATCATCTGCTTATTTAAAAATATAAGTATGTTTTCATTGTCACTTAATTATCCATAGTTCCAAAGCTAAAAATATAATTAAACTACATAATATAGTATATTTATCACGATCTTGAAGCAATAGTAATAAACACTACAGATTTAATTATATTAAATACTTACCTACTGCTTATTATAATATGTAAGGTTATCAGAGTTTTCATTTATCTGCGTAAAGAGATACGAATAAAATATATAAATTTTATTGAAATGAGAATATTATATATAAATATTTTTATTCTGAAGTGAAACATAGACATTTATTAATAAGAACTTGTGTTATTTTAACTTACGGTACATTTGGATGCGTATTAATGACTTTAACAATTTAACTGATATATGTACCTATGTGTATTTGTATGTAGACTCCATGAGTGGAGTTCATGATATACAAACTATCGTTCAAATCACGGAAATGCCGTTAAACAAGCAATTCATATTTACGCATCGAAATGATAAAACAATGAAATACTCTTAAGCTGCTTAAAGGTTAGAGCCCACTAGTCACCACGCATTAGCCCTGCGTTCAAACATGTGCATGGAGTATCGTTCGTCCAGAGAAGTACTGCCACCTTACCTATTTCTGCCGCCAAGCAGTAATGTTAGCATTACTGTGTTCCGGTTTTGAAGGGTAAGGGTGCTGGTGAAATTACAAGCACATGGGACTTGTCAACTTATGTTTCAGGGTGACGGGCGCAGTGGCAGTGCCCCTCAGATCTTTGAGATTTGAAGCTCTGAGTGGCACTGCAACTATTATGGATGGCGTGTAGCTTACCATCAGGCGCACGACTTGTTCATCCCGTCACTTGATGTTATAAAAAAAAAACGCTTACTATGAACGCAATGCTGAAGCATACCTACTAATGGAGTCCAGCCCTTAAGATATTCTAGGCAAATCTTCGTTCTATTTATCAAGCTCTCATAGCAAATTATATTACAGAAAGTGTTATTATATTTACGTGATGGTTCAACTTCACATCAATTTTTTAGTCTTAGCCAAATGTTAATTATATCCATATTTTTGTTGTTTGCACTTAGACAATAGAAAATGCAAAGAGTAATGTTTAGACACATTTAGAAATGGAGGTTACACGATATATAGAACCATTTGTTAATGAAAGAAATACATTGGTATACAATAAGGTGTTAATTACTATTTTTAGAATCTTTAAAGAAAATAATAAAAGTTGCATCAAATAGCAGATCTTTCCTTAGAATGTTATTATTATTTTTGTTTTGTTTCACTTGTTGTAATTAATTTTATTTGATACCTTTTTTATTTTGTTAATTGTGACGGTGACAGTCTTTTTGATCTTTGCCTAATGAATGTTATACTTCTCGAGTACTTATTATGATTTTCTTTGTAACAGTTTTGAATGTCTGAATTTTTGAGTAATTTTGTTAACGTTTATAAATTGTGTTGTCGATCGACGGCATTTCCGTCGACCTGGTAAATATATATTAATGGTGATTGCAGCCGCGAGCTGGAGCCAGACCCTGGTGATATTTATAGCAACGACAATGGACACGATTTCAGATTATTTTAACAATAATCTTTAATATTAATAGTAGCAAAGTAACAACACGGGTTATTAGTAAAGAATAGATTAATTAAGTTATTTATAATATTATAGGCATAAATAGTGTTGTTAACAAAGGAGTGAATTTTCTAAACCGTAGGTAACTTATTAGTCACGAAGAGAGGACTGATCAGGTACGTTATCCTATGACACTACTCTCGCAGTTCGTAGATGGTGTGGTTAGATCTAGATTATATTTAACGTGCTTTCTATGTTGCTCAAATTGACGCTATGCGAAGAACAAAGTATTTTTGGTCCAGTACAAATTGTTGCTTTTGTATTTTAATTTTAAACCTAGATATTCTTACGCTGTATCATCTGGATTTTAATTGCGAGGCTAATTTTATATTTTTTATTTTATGCAAATTTGTTCGTTTACTTTCGACTTTGTGCGATAGAAGGCAGCTACTTGTTCCTTGTCTATACCTCTGAATCTATTCTCCTCTCAGCAAGGAAATATACAATTTTATTGAAACTCTTTCAACTCGAAACCCACCTTATGTGATCTTAAAGCTAAGTTTACTGAAGTGTTATTTTTTTAATTAATGTACCTACTACTTACTGTACTTGCCGAAATAGTTCCAAATGCAAACACTTGAGTCCTATTATGTCATAGTGAAATCTATTCTTTTTTGTTATATTATTTTTTAATTTATTATTTAGACATAATAGTTATTTCGAATAGTGTAAGTTCAGTCTGTCTTGGCTATAATTAAATGTTTGTTCAAGATATAGCTTCAAATGCATCATGTAGATACCTACATAGTTGCTAATATATCTAGTTTTATCTAATGCATCGCTATGAATTTTCTGTTTTGAACTATTCCTTTATTTTTATTTTAGTTCCTTTAAAATTCGATTTTTGTATTCATATTTTATTACGGTTCTATTACGTGGATGAGTTGATCTGTAGGTACTATAAACTTTAATCGTAGTGGATGTTCACACTATTGGTGCTAATGCAATTATATACCACAACTTATACAGACTAGCTCGTCCATGAAGTAGGCCGATAAATTTTATTATATTTTTCGTTTATCGTGGTCAAATCGATGTCATTCATTCATTTGAACAAATAAAGGTTAATATATTTTACTTTGTCTTTATTTTACCTGATTCCTATTTTGGTTATGCTACATTTGGTTCATCATATTTTTTTAATGCAGCAGCTGTTTTATTTCTGCATCGCTAGATTTTTCATATAGCTGACACAGATTTTTGTAGGTATGGCACAAAATATAATTGAAACGTTACCACTGCTTTTCGTATTTCATGATGACAATTTGATTTATTTCAGGACGCGGCACTCCGGATTCAGAAAATAAGGACTCAGGCGAAACTCAAGGCAAAATACGAGTGAACCCAGCGACACAGGCCTCAACATCAAACGAATACCAGAATGACTCCATCAACAACAATACGTTACAAGGCAATCAAATGCAAAGGCCAGCCATTCGAAGACGGATAAGGAGAAGAGCAAACTCGGCTTCTAATGATCCTGCGGAACAACTGACAGAGATGTCGGTTAGAGGACTGAATTTATTTCGCTACGCTTCGGTCAACGAGGGCGTCTACCAATGCACAGAATGCGCCAAGGAGAACATCCAGAAAACGTTTAAAAACAAGTATTCATTCCAGAGACACGCGTTCCTCTATCACGAAGGACAGCAAAGGAAAGTGTTCCCTTGCCCCGTGTGCTGCAAAGAGTTCTCTAGGCCGGACAAAATGAAGAACCACATGAAAACTACACATGACTGCTATGTGCCGAAGGACTGCGTGTATCCACCGAATGCGTTTTTTATGATGCAAGGAATGGACGCTGGTCAGATGAAACTGGAGCAGATGAGCACGGGCTCACCGCGTGGCTCCACACCTTCTCATTCCTCGCCTGATCCCGCGCAAGTCTAAGTGACGTTATTTGAATAATTATATCTCACAGAGTATTATTGATTCCACGTAATCTTCGATTAAGGACCATTATAGTGCCTTCGAAAATGCCTAAATTTAATGTTTTTCTTACAGTTAGTTAGTTCTCTAGCTACTTTAGTGTTCATGAGTTTTATTATAGTATTTGTTCTATTTTTGGAGTAAAATTTTAATGTTCACTTTTCTACTATACGAATTATACTATATTTCCATTGATACCGTTATGCATTTATATATAATGTTTGTTACATAAAGCTCATTATATTATACTTGTTGAAATATGGTTGTGCAAATATTAGACAATAATAAAATATATGATTGAGGCCAGTTACGCAATAATTACTACAATAATTAAAATAACGAGTATCATAGTAAAACGTATAATATTAGGTGCTTTTAAATTTTGAGCGCCTTGTTTAATGTACGAGACTACAATGTAGTTCTGTATTGCCCTGAAAGTAATAAGTAGTAGCATTGCAAAATGTCAACCAAAGACTGCATAACCTTTCCGTCTATCTTTGAAATCATCCATTTTACCGGGTTGACGGCCATTACAGACACATTGTATCAGACTACAAAAATTGATGTTAAGAGCTCTTTAAATATAAAGGAACAGTAACAGTAGGACTTATTAAAAAAATAAACTTCGTTCACAAATATTATAATAAATGTTATTGTTTATATTTTCTATAATGATAATAAAGACTTATATATTGTAGATTTCATATTTAGTGAGCTTACTGTTAAAGGGTGTACCTATTGAATCTACAGAACTTAGTAGGAGATGATTATTTGAATACTTTTAATGTTTACATACATAAAGCCTATTAGTGCCATAGCACATTTTATTAATTGTTTATAATCTGATGATTTTGTCACTTCTACTGTTTCCTCTTAGCGTAAGTGACCGTCCTAGTACCGCTAGGACGAGAAACGACAATCACCAGTTCTTCCATTGATAAGGGAAATAACATGTTAGTAATGTTACGTTTACACTAATCTCCATGTTAATCAAGTTCAAATGTGGGATTATTTTAGTAAGTAACGTCATAAGAGCAATTATAATTAGAGAGAAAACTTTAAGAGTTCTAGATTTATGATTATAATATTATCTACTTAAAGAATTATTGGTTATAAATTGAGTTTTTGTATTTTAGCGCACAACATTTGAGATAGTTTATGAGAAGTTTATATTAAGTTTTATGATAGTAGTTCACGTTCTTGTATATAATTTTGATGGTGTATTACTGAATATTATCGTCGTATTCGCCAGTAAGGTATTAACAATTGCAGTGTGATTATATTTAATTGTAAGCCAGCGCCAGTCTACCGCACAAATTAATTTCACGAGTGTCGCATTTTCATCACGCAATGATTTCAGATTATTGCAAATTAACATGTTCTCTTATTTTCTGCTTCCAACCTTTTTATTTTGTTCGTACTCACATCACACGAATGCGAGATCTTCATTTATACATTTGCGTTTTTATTGTAAAGGTGAGTTTTATTTTATTTTTCTTTTCTTTTTTGTAGTATTTTATTTTGTGATATTAGTGCTAACTAAGTTGGCGATCATTCTTTGTTGAGTTATTATATATCTTTAGTTTTCTTTCCTAAAGCCAAGCTGCAAGGCAGCGCAATTTCTACATTTTTATGAAATGTGTTGTAAAACTTTGAAAATATTATCTAGGCACTAGATTACGTAACTGGTGGCATTTTTAATACAATTGTGACTTTTAGAAAAAAAAAACGATTTACACTGGCCTTTAGTAGAAATGGAACGTTCCGCGTGAATTGCAAAATGGATTTATTATTAAGTAACTTAAATTGAATATGATAATCACCTGAAGTTTTACAACATCTTTATAATTCCTCTAAGTATAGACTACCTGACACTTTTTGTATATTTCATTAACATTTCTTGTTTAACCTTAAGATAACGAAGTATTATGACAAACGGCACTTTAGTAACTGCAATCTTTTTTTTAAATTAGAGCCAATGCTATTTGCTGGCCATTATGACCTGTTAAGGGTTAACAAAATAAAGCTGGTAGGGTATTAAAAATAAAACTGGTGAGGTATTTAAAAAAAAAAACAAATGCAGAAACATAATTTATACCATTTAGCTACATTAGGTACGTCTTCGGTCTGTGTTTTGTTTGAATGAGAAGCGTTTATAAATCAGCAATTTTGAAAGGTACCTAGAGATTTATTTCTATATTTCATTTAGATCACACGTAAAGTGCAATGTTTGTAAACAAGTGTTGTTTTATTTTGTTTTATTTCTATATTCTATTGGATTAATTCAAGCACAGATAAAATGTTTATTACACAATTCTTAAAGTTTATTATAAAATAAAACGCTCTAGAGGATTCTTATTTTCAAAATGTTTTCTGTAATCTATCTTAATAACGAGTTTATTTACAATTTGTATTATGAATATTGTTTAGGAATCGTCGATAGTATTCGACAATAAAGACGTTGTCGGCCATATTGAATAAATAATTAATATCTCGACTATTCCTTATTTTAAGACCGTTAGATTTTCGTTAGTAGATTTATTATACGATAATAACAGTTATTAACAAATACTACCACAGTTTAACTGATAAATATAAAACATAAGTTTAACTATTGTTGCGGACATCAAAGCTTTAACAATTCTGATGTAAACGAGACAAAAGTATATTTTTATTGTAACATGAAACATATTATAGAAAGAATCTTACCACCTTACTGAATAATGTGAAAAATGTACACTACAAATAATCCAAATAAAAGTATAAAAAAATTATGATGACGTTTTATTTAATCCCTTAAAATCTAATTTACACAGCCGCGTACTCGAATTTTTGTAACGAAATTGTACGTAATATAATAAACCTTCCCTATGTCAATTGTGTAACGTAAAAACTACCAGCTAGTTTATTTTTAGGCTACTTCCAGGAAATTGGCGCGCTTTCTCGGGAATTCTCGCTACTCCTTTGCCTGGCGAATCGAAAAATTGCAATGCGGCGTCAAACGACTACGAAACGACTAAAGAGATATAAATCGTAGCAAAATTCTTCCTATTGATCGAAAAATTTACGTTTCTTTCATAAATCATGAATCCAACATCCTTTTTTCCTTTTCTCTTATTTTTTTTCTGCTTCACAAATAAGCGAAATAGAAACCATACATACAGGTGCGTACAGATCTGGTGAATGCGTCTGTTTGGGAAAGGCCTGTGAGCTGCATAAATGCGTTGCATAGGTTCGCATGCCTTTCGCGCGTCATCTATGTTTGTGAGGCTTGCGTGAGATGTGATTACAGAAGCGCATTTAATTGCACGCGTGCAGCTCGCGGCGCATTCGCCCGCACCCTTAAGGATCTAGATTAAACAACTGAACATTTACTACAACGTAAAGACGCAGTTGCGAGAATTCTTGCGCTGCAATGTGGAATTGACGTTCCGGTTCCGCGGCTGTGTAAATTGCACTTTAGATTTTAGATACTTATATAGATATAACTTAAGATACGGGCTGTTTTTCATTATGAAGATATTATGTAAATAGGCACCTTTTCTAAGTATTGCACATAATTTCAGAGTACCAATTCTTTGATGAGGATGGTGAAGGCATGCCCATTATAACGCTTGAAGTAATGTCTGAAACGTCACAAACAGGTCCGTTACCAGAAATGCAAGAAATTATACCCCTTGAGAAAATAGAAGGCCCTCAAGATGTAGGAGTACACTTTTTAACAGATAAACCAGAAGAATCCGCAACTAAAGATGGTGAAGACCCTGAAGTGAAAGAAACACCTAAAGGACGAAGTGATTTGCTTGAGTATGTAATAAGAACTGATGGTAGAGTTATCTGTAAACTTTGTGGAGAAATCCTTCAGAGTCGGACACATTGGTACAGGCATAAATACAAACTGCATGTGATACAGCCACTCAACCCTGCGCCCTTATTTCAATGTGAGCAGTGTTTAGTTTACTTCAAGAGTAGGAAAGGTAAGTCAACAATACCTTATGAAATATGTTGTAAATATTCTGCTCTACATTCTCCTATCACACAAAATTCAATACTCAGTAGGTAGTATGTAGGTAAAACCACCACTTTAGTGTATAATTATGTTTTGTGTGTCACACGTTTATTCTAGTCCAACATTCACTCCGAAGCACTACCCTGTACACCCAGCCTAGAATTTATTTAGAAAATTTCGTTTAGCCAAATTGGTCCTACCAGAAATCGAACCAGGTCATCCACTATTAGTATTGCATTGTAGGCACAATGCTTACCGCTGGGCCGTTAAATAAACGACGATGTATGACTATCCGTTGCCGTCGACTGTGCGAGGAAATTTGTAAATCACAAGCCGTGTAAAGCCTTGAGTTAAGTTTTTAATTAGTAGTAATTTTTTATGGACAGCTGAAAATGACGACAACGACTATTTGTAGGAGTAAATTGATCTCGAGCTTAACTCCCGGGTCACACCTGTTCTGATGTACACATTTGGCATGCTCAGGCTCAGACCGTTTGGAGTCTCTGGATAAACGAGTCCGTATTACTATGAACTCTCTATGTCTAACGGGTTGGCCAAAAAGTTCGTGTGGTTTATAACCAGTGATCGGAATTGTGGGAGTTCATTTACCTAAAATATGAACGTTTTCTTAATATGGTTATACCAATTTCGTCCTCAATGCGTATAAAATATCTTTTTCACTTCTCATGCTCTTAAAGTTCGTATTTACGCTGGGTGTAGGATGCATAAAATAAAATATTATGCTCTAGTTAATAAAATAGGATTTTATGATCTAGTGCATAAAAAAAACCATCATATTAAATATGTCTAATTGTTGTAATTTTACATTCAATTTTAATTAAATATTCGTTTATTTGTAATATTGATGTTTAATTTCGTCGCAATCGAAGTGAAAAGCAGAGTGTATAACTCGTTCATAAAACCCATTTTACCCACGACTAAGTATCCAGACGGATGTGGGTTCTCGTCTCGGGTAAAATGATGCGTTTTGTGCACTTGCTGTACAGTCTACTATTTTGCTGTTTATTTTCTAAACATTCCAAAATATAGGTTGTCTCATGTTTATTTTTTAAATGGCTAAAGTATTCAAATACATGAGAAATATAGAAACACAACAACAATATTATTATTTGAGACAATAATTTACAGTAAATACTTTATGGGAAATATTAATTTGTCGCCAATGTACCTACTCAAATTGCAATAAATATTTAAATAATACGCATATCAAATATAATCAGTTCCAAGAAGTCTCGGGATTTATAGAAGGGGATGTCCACATTATTCTTTAGCTTAGCTAAATTAACTCCTTCAATTCCGATCACTGTTTGTAACCTTTAAGTTATAAACAGAGATCTTTCAAGATTTGTTTTGTTTTTAATTTTATATTTGTCTATATATCTACTCCGGAACATAGTGGTCGCCATTAAGGAAATAATAATAATAAGTTTAAAATTCGCCCAAAATTAGAGAACACAGAACAGAATAGTAAAGGTGAAGAGATATTTCATCATGATAATGCCAAATCACACACATTTTACAACGCCATAAAAACTGTTGCGGTTTAGTTGGGATGTGTTACCTTATCCACCGTATTCGTCCGAAACAGCATCCTCAGATTTTTCACTTGCATCGTTTTAACGAAATTCTTTGAATAGACACGACTTTCATCATGCCATACGACGCCCACTGATGGGTATAGGCCTCCCCCAACGATCTCCACGACGATCCCCTGCCCTGCCAAGCCCTGCGCTGCCCGCATCCATCGACTTTAATAACGAAGAAATCATTTGACATTTAGAGCTGTATATTATAACTAAGTAAGACAGGATTTTTTATTCAAGGGATAAAGGGGAAAGGGGTCACAGGTTCGATTCCTGGGCCGGGAGAAATATTTGTATGACCTAGATTTATTTCTCTCGTGAGTTTGGGTGTAATTTGTGGTTGTCTGTGTGTGTATCCATGGCACTCCCAACACACCGTTTCCCTAGTTGACCGGGACTATGTTGAGTATGCGCGTTATTATTATTATTATTATCAATTGTAAATGTGCTCTTTTTTAAATAAACTATTTTTTTATGTTTCATATATATTAATAAATTGTTCCGTCTATATTAGTTGACCTACAGGTAAATTATAAATGAACTGCATTCAAGGTAACACTACCATTATGTTTAATCATAAATTAATATTGGGTATTCAAAAATAATATTTGATCCTCTTTTTTCACATTAAGTCAAATCTTGGTTGCGCCCTTCATTCACTAAGTTTGGTTAGTTAGTAGTTCGGGTTTTCGAACATGGTTTCAGATCAAATTATATTATAATTAGTAGGGGAGAAGGGCGCACCTTTGAGTTTTACACATTTAGTTGTAAAATTCTAAATCATTATTATCTTACCCGTTATCAATGATTGCAAGCTGTAGATTAAATAATTTTTAGCGTTAAAACAATCCACACGACAAGCAAAGTTCAATTCACCATTATCTATATTCTTCCAGTAATATCTTTACAACTATTTTTGAGAATATTTACTTTTCAACGCTGAAACTAAACATGACCTCTCATTCAGTATTTGGCGCGCACACACCAAGCATAGTGTATCATCAATGCACTAACCGTTGCCACTGACAGGTGTGGGACTCGGTGGTGCCCTTAGATGGTGCCATATATCTGTGGTGGTGCCTTATTACAAACATAATTCCATAGCAGAATTGTAAGCAGTAATTGTAAGTAAATTAGTCTCACAATGAAGGAAAACAAAAACTTAATTCCTACTCCATTTTCATTTAAACTGACTGCGTAAACGCATTTGTTCAAAGCTTCCCCTGTTCAAAGATATCTCCTTCTCCCCTATATAAATATGATAGCAAATCAAAATAAAAAAGCATTTTTTATAAAAGGCATCATAAAAAACAAGTATCTATATTTTCTTTTCAAAGCTCATTTGTCTTAGTTTTGAGACCCAATATGAAACTATCAAAGTGTATTTCTAAAATTCTAATTTTTTTGCGTAGCTCAGAACAGATTAAGTTATCCATTGATTTAATTTATTTT